AATTGGGAAAGTCATGTTTTTTCCTTCATACTTAATGGTCATATGAGAAGTCGAAACTATACTTATTAAAGGAATACAAAATCAAACCAGCTCATTCCCAGAAACATACTGCGCTCCTCCAGAGGATGGACGCCTTGCGCCATCCACCTCAGTAGGGCCTTGCCATTGCCTGAGTCAGGGGAGGGGCGAGCACATGGTGATCTAGGGGAGATTTCACAATGTCATGTGGTCAGGCAGAAAAGAGGCCGGTGACTGTCACTGTAGGCAACTGTGCAAGATAACCCATTTATACAAAAATAATTCGTGGATTAGTTATACAACTGGAGGTTATAAACTTCCGATAAAACCCAGGGAAAGGCTTTAGGACCCTTCCCTGAAGCCAGGATCCCTTGACTGTCACTTGACTGTCACCACAGTATGGCGCCCTTGCTGTCTTTCTTGTGCAGATGTGGGGTGTTCCCCAAACATTCTGGATGCCTTAAATGGAACTAACATCGTGAACACTGTTCGCCTTTCCTTTTGCATCAACCCAAACTGACTGGTCATTCAGTGGAAATAGAGACGACATTCACACATTTACAAGCACCATCTGCAAACAGAAATCTTAACTTATATCCCCAAACTTCTGATCCCAATTTAACATAACTAAAACCTCCCATGTCTATAATAATGCCCACTCTCTTCCTGGTCACTCTGGTCAAGCACCTGACTGGTCAGAGAATAAGGAAGAAGTGTTAACAAGTGAAATATGATGGGAGACAAAGAGAAGACTCCCAAGCCTTTCTCCACATTCCCTCGCATCTTGAAAAGATGAAAAGACTCTCTGGTACAGTCACACACAACAATGTGAGTGTTGTTTTTTTTTCCCATCAAAGTTCATCCTGAAGAGAAGACATAATATCTTGAGATTAAAACCACACACCCGTAMCCACATGTGCACTGTGCGATTGACCTGCACGCTTCAGGTCACGGGTGTCAAATGGATAGGGCTTGGAAATGTGGATCAGGTGGTTTCCTGTGAAGCATGAGTTGATGCTCGATGGATTGAAAACCTTAAGACTTTTCTTCTTGCCTCTGCATTGTCAGCATCACCCGACACTTCGGCATCCTTCCAACCTCCACTGGTTTGTGTCATGAACACAAAACAGCCATTCATTCACAGGTGGGAACAGGGTTTACTAGGAGCAACCTCGGACTGACTGCTATTGTTTGTGGAACAGCTGATGAGGGTCTAACCATAGGTTTGCTGTGAAGAAGAAAGGAGACAGGCCCTGGGTACTTTGCTTACTGTAAACTACTTAAGAACTTTTCCTTCCTACAATTCTCACCAAATTTGGAACTCTTCAGAACAGCTAATTTGAAATAAAAATGATGAACAACATCACACAAAATTCTCTAGGAGTTGCCATTTTTTTGTCCCTCAAAAAGCTTTATTTACATCCAACTCTCAGTCACAGAGCAGAGGTGACACCTATGAATCCAAAGATGAATCAACATTTGTCTTATGTGCATAGAAAACATACCACCCACCTAATGTTTACCTCTCTATTACATTTTTAGCAGAACTATCTTCCTAGTTAGATTTTAACCCTGATAATCAATGGAAAACAAACCTAAGGAAGTGAAAGAGCTCTCTGACGAATCAAGAGGTCCCCCTCTTGGCATCTGATCTAAAGTTTGGAAAAACTGGGYCTGTTGGCATTACTTTGTATGCCCTGAAATACACAGCCCTGGMGTATTATAGGAGGGAAAGAAAAGGCCTACAGAGTGTTAGCAAGAAAGAATATCAGCATTCATAACTTTGAAAAGTTTTC